CGGCCACCAGGCATGGGGCATGGAGCACGGCACCGGGCCTGCACCGGGCACTGCACCGGGACTGCACCGGGCATGGGGCACAGCACCGGGCATGGGGCACGGCACCGGGCCTGCACCGGGACTGCACCGGGCACTGCACGGGGACTGCACTGGGCATGGGGCACGGCACTGGGCACCGGGCACCGGGCATGGGGCACGGCACCAGCCCTGCAACGGGCACTGCACCGGGACTGCACCGGGCATGGGGCATGGGACCAGGCACTGGGACTGCACCGGGCACCGGGCATGGGGCATGGCACCAGGACTGCACCGGGCACCGGGCACTGCACCGGGCACTGCGCCGGCCATGGGGCACTGCACTGGGACTGCACTGGGCACCGCACCGGGCAGGGGGTACAGCACCAGGCATGGGGAACAGCACCGGGCATGGCACAGCACCGGGACTGCACCGGGCACTGGGCACTGCACCAGGCACTGCACCGGCCATGGGGTACGGCACCAGGCACTGGGTGCTGTGGCCATGGGGTACTGCACTGGGCACCGGGTGCTGCACTGGGCACTGGGCACCGCACTGGGCGCTGCATTGGGCACAGCAGCGGGCATTGCACTGGGTTCTGCAGACACTGGGCACCGCGCACTGCACCGGGCACCCACAACCCAGGCCCAGGAGCCAGGCTCGGTGCCGGGGTGCTGCTGGTGGGGCCGCGTTCCCCCAGCCTCCCCGCCTGCTGGGCAAGCGGAGCCCCGGGTGAGCGGGGGCAGCTCTGGCACCCACCAGCGCCCGTTTACCCCTCGCCATCACCCCACACAGTGGGTGCTCCCTGCCCAGCCCCACTCTGGTGCCAGCAGCACCGAATCCAGCCTCCCCGGCTGCAGACACCACGCCGCAGGTCATCGCAAGGAACAATTTTAATACAACAGAAAACTTCCCGAAGGTAGGAACAGAGCCAGGCGCTGGGCAGGAAGACACGGTCCCCTTGGCTTTTAAGACATTTTCCATTAAAAAAATCCTTTTCCCGCTGTATCCGTGCCGCCGGTGCGCGGCTGAGCCCCCCTTCCCATGGTGCCGGTGGGCAGGGGGTGCCCGGTGTCTCCCCCAAACCCCGCTGCCTTCCTGAGACTTTAATACAGATGGCGGAGGAAGAAGCAAACACCGAGCGGCTCCGGCTGCTCGTTCTGGGGGGGTAAACGGCGCCGGTTTAACGGGGGGAGAAGCAGGATACGGAGCCTGGCACAAACCACACGTGCACAAAATAATCCAACACGCAGCTGAAAAATCCACTGGTTGCTTCGGGGTAGGAGATGCACCCGCCGGCAGTGGCGTGGCGATGCCCAGTGGCAGGGGGTTCAGTGAACCAGGGACGGTCCCATCGCCGGCACGCGGTGCTGAAAGCACCAGGGTGGCAAACCGCGGCGGGGGGAAAAGCCGGTACATGCATTATCAAATGGAAACATATCATAGAAAACAGTAGAAATGGGGGGGAAGTGACAGGTTGAGCCGTAGTTTGGTGGATAAAAAGTGATGGGGGGGGAGAGAAGGGGTGAAATTTCCAAATTACAAATGAAGCAGCAGCACAGGGGCTTGCTGGGTTGGGTTTTTGTAAAAATAAAAGAAATACTGGCTTTTTATGGATGTCTGTATGCACCAACGGACGAACACCGTGGGATGTGGTGGCAGAAGAAATGCAAAGAGCAAAAACCAACCCTAAAAATCCTGTTAATACTTGCATCCGATTGCTGTCCCCATGGGGAGATCTCTGCTTTTCCTGCCTGGAAGGGCCGATGGAGCTGGGTGGCTCCAAAAGGCTCCGAATAAAAAAAATTAAAACCTTTACATCCGCTATACGCTTATAAAATGAACCATACGCATTGTTATATGATGAACCATATGCACATAAAATCACCCATATGCATCCCAGCTCGGGCCGCCAGCATTTGGGGGATGTTGCTGTGGTTTGGGGTTTTTTAATTTTAAGTATTACAATTAGCCCCCCTCGAAGAGGGTTTCTTAGGAGATTTGGGGTGTTTCCAGCTAAAACTGAAGATAAAAAGTGGGGAAAAGCGAGTGGGTCTTTGCAAGGTTAGAAAACATCGTGTCATCCGGCTGGGAGCTGGGAGCCGCACGGAAAAGCCTGGGACCCCCTGGGGCTGGGTCGGACCCTGCGACAGTCCTGCGCTGACCGTTTAGCTTATAAAAGTAATAAATTAATTAATGAATATTTGCATCGAGTCCTTTCTGTACACAAAGGTTGGGGCCCTGCCGGGGAAACGCCGCCGCCGGAAAAGCTCCCACATCTCTATAAAAATATGAGCCTCTTTCGGGGAGTATAAAAAGCCTTCGGGGGAGGCGAAGTGCCAGGGCGCAGCCAGCCCGGCCAGCGCCGACATCCAGAATGGCTCCGGGAATGTTTATCTCATGGATACGCGGCACAGGATGGGTTTTTGGGGGAGGTGGTGGGATGCCGCAGGGAGCCTGAACCATCCCCGGGTGCCGGCATGGGGCTCAGGCATGTTTCGCCCCGCTCCATGCACTGCTCTGGGGTGCTGGGAGCTGAGCACCCGCTGGCTCCTGGCCCCACGCTGGTGGTGCCGGCGGCACCTGCGGTGGTTGCCAGTGGCCGGTTGCTCTCTCCCCGCAGTTCCGGTGCTGCCGGGAGCTGTGGTCCCGATGCTCACATCCATCCCGCCACAGCGAGGAGATGCTGCCGTCCGGCTGCTTGGTGTTGCCGATGGGGTAGGAGCCCTGGCATTCCCACTCGGCCGCCGCTGGCTCCTGCTCATCGCTCTCGGAGCCCTGCACTGCGATCTGCGGGACCGGGCTGGGCTTCGGCTTCGACTCCGTGCCAGCCATGCCGCCGCACCGGAGAGCTGCACCCTGCCCGGCTTCGCTCTTGCCACCATCTTCGCTTGCCGGCACCGGCTCCGGCTCATCGAAACTCACTTCTTGAACCGCTTCTTGCTTCTTGAAGGAGTCCCGACGCTCGGAGAGGTTCAAGCGCCGCATGACCACCACCTCCTGGTCCCGGTCGTGTCTGTCCCCCAGCCGGGAGCTGGTGGGGTGATAACCGTGCTCCCCAGGGTACGCCAGTGCTTCGCCTTCCCCCATGGCCTCCCCATCCATCGCAGGCATCTCCAGCCCCAGCTTGCGGCCGATCTTCTCGGCCGACTGGACACGCTTGAGGAGGGGGGAGCGGGGGCAGTCGGCACTGCGGGGTCGTGAGCTCTGGCGGACGATGGTGGGGGGGGATAGGGTCTTGCCCTGGAAGGAATGGGGGGTTTTGGGGTACCCTGGGAGCGGGGATGGGGAGCGCTGGGGAGAAGGCGGGCGCTGGGCAGAGGAAGGCGTGCAGGCGAGGGGCGAGGGGGGGATGCTGCTGGTGGATTTGCGACGTCCCACTTTGTAGCGTTGCCCACCCAGTTTGGGTGCCAGCCCGTGCAGGGAGCTGGGGCGCACGTGGCCAGCGGGTGACGTTGGGGTGCTGGAGGAGGGAGAGGTGCTCTGTGGGGACACAGCATCTGCCGCACAAAGAGAAACAGGTTACCACGAGGGACGGAGGGACACGCGGCATCCCCGCCATGCCCGGAGCTAAAATCCACCCCCCGCCGCAGGTTGGGGTACCTGGGGGCAGGTCGGGAGCGGGGCTGCGGCAGGGCGTCGTGGGACCCGGGGACAGGCTGTGCGTGGGGGACTCCGGGAGGCTCTCGCTGGAGGACAGCGAGTGATGGAGACCGGAGGAGAAGCTGCGGCTGGTGTGCAGGACCGATGACTGCTTGGAGATCTTCTTGAAAAGGGATTTTCTCCTGGTGGGGGGCACAAAGGTGGCGGGGACAGGAAGAGCCTTGACTTATCCTTAAAGCTGGTGGCCATCCGCCTGCCGAGCTGGTGCTGGCAGGACCGGACCCTGCTAGATCCCCTGGTATGGCAGAGCCAGAGCATCTCCCCCCGGTATGGCACACGCCAGGACAAATGCCATTTTATCCCACCCTGGTTCTACCCACCTGTCCTGGCTGTCCCTTTTCCTGCTCTTCTTACTCCTCCGCGCCATCCTCGTCTTGGAACTGTTTTTCCGAGCAGGGCCGATTTTAATGGAGGTGTTCTCCAGGGCGGTGGTCCGCAGGGCTACTTTATTCCCACTCTGAGGGGTGAAAAACAAGTCACTGCAGCATGCTGGATCCAAGCGCCAGATCTGAATCGGCTCCTGCCTCGGGTGCCAGTGGAGGCGATGCCGGGGAGCCGCTGGATCGATGCGCCATTACTGGGGGCCGGCTGGACGAGCAGCGTGGCACCGGTCACCTACCTTCAGCAGCAGCTCCACGACGTCCCGGTGAACTAAACCCAGCACCGATTCGCCGTTCACATGTGTGATGAGATCGCCCGCTCTCAGCCCCGCTTCCTGAGCAGGGCTCCCCTCTTCCACGCTCTGCAATCAAAAGACCAAGATTATATTCAGACGCAAGCCTAAGTTTCCTCCTGGGGTTTTCCCATCAGGAAACACAGTATCCGGCACCGCCGGTCCCTCCCCATGCGGAGCCCAGGCCACGTACCCAGACCATATGGTGGACGGTATAGACGTCGCTGTCCCCCATGTAGACGCGGATGGCTCGCAGGGTGAAGCCGTACTTCTTGCCCGAGCTGTGGATGATGATGGGAGGCCGCAGGCTGGCGATGGCGAGGGATGAGTCTCGGCTTGGGGAGGAGTCACGGGAAGAGGGGTTGGACGAGAGGGAGTGGGGGGAGATGGGGCTCATCAGGGCACCGCCACCAAAGTCATCTGCAAGTGGGAGAAGCCGGCTCAGCCCGGGAAAACCACGTGGCAGCCGCCATCCGGCAGGATAAACCACATGGCACACGGACCTGATGTGATGATGAGGGATAAGGCTGAGACGGAGGCAGATTTGGGGACACGGCCGCCCGGCGAGGCTCTCTGCCTGTCCGGCACATCCTTCTGGCTGCCCAGCCGACGGCTCCCGCCCGGCTCCAGGCCCCGGGGAGTCGAGTTTTTGGTGCCGGTGCTGTTGCTCCGGAGGCGGATGCGGTTCAGGCTGACGAGATCGGCTGCACAGAGAGGACGAGGGAGAGTTTGGGGACGTGGAGAAGCCACCCCATGCTGTGCGGGACCCCGGCTGCCCCCGGAGCATCCCGCACCGGCACCCGCAGCCTACGCACCGGATAACGCTGACGGCTTCACTGCGCCACTGGTCCCCACATCGGGGTCTCCCAGCACAAACTTGGGTCTCTCCGGCTTGGAGGATGCCACGCAAGGGCTTTCGTCCTCCGAGGAGAAGGCAAACTTGGGCATGGTGTCCAGGCTGTAGGTGCTGGGCAGCGCGGCAGGGCTGCGGCTTCGCTCATGCCGGGAGGTGTACGGCGTGGAGCTGCAGGACGTCCAGGAGCGGAGCCTGCGCGGGGAGAGCAGGAGGGCTCAGGACAACCAAAGATGGGCAAGGGGGACGGCACCGAGCTGCTGCAGCACCCCAGGACATGTCCCACCCACACCTCTGCAAACCCTCGGTGCTGGCACAAACCCTCGGCACCAGCACAAACCCACATCAGCGTTACATTCCCTGTCTCAGCACGCACCGGGGCTCTGTGCCTGCCAGCCGGCTCCTGTCCTCGTCTCCCGAATGCCTGTCCCATCGCTCCTCTTTGTCCTCACTGTGACTCTGATCGGAGGACGAGAGGCTGAGGTTGGAGTGAGCCGCCAGGAATTCGGAGCTGCTGTACACCTGAGGAGGAGACAAGCCATCAGCAAGGAGAAGAAATTCAGGAATCCAGGCGCTCTGGCATCAGCCAGGACACGGATGCTTGGCACAACCGCACCGGCCATGGCGCCCCGTCGTTTTGGATGCCGGAGGAGGGATTGGAGCACCTTGCTGAAGCGATGGGAGCAGGAGGAGAACTGCCCGATCTCCACGGATGATTCCTCATCGTTGGTTTCTTCATCCTCCGAATCCAAGTGGCGGTACCTCTCGGAGCGAGCTGAAAGCAAGAGCCAGAGCAGGCAGGGCTGTCATCCTGCCTGCAACACACCGCGTCCTGCCTGCCCACGAGGCCCTGGTGGGACCTGCAGCCACGGGGAACTGTACTGTGGCTGACAGCCTGGTCCCAAATCCCAGGGAATTTTTGGGGTGAGAAAGTAAGGGTTTTGGTAAGGCTGAGCAGCCTAGAAATAGGATTGCATCTGTTTCGCGACTTCGGTTGTAAAGCGACCAACTTCACCCAGGAAATTTTCATCTCCCATGGGAGCATCCGACCTGCAGCTGGGATAATGGATTGGCAGAGGCGGGGAAAAGGGGATGGATTTGGCCTCACTGTCGAAGTAGCTGGTGTCGTCCTCTGACTCCAGCTGGGGGATGAACTCGGCCTTCTGCCGCAGCAGCCCGTTCCAGTCCAGGTGGAGGAAGAAGGAATGGTGCTTCACCTCATGTGCACCCCCTGCCAGGCAGAGAAACCCACGTCACGGAGACAGGGCAGGATCCGGGATGCTCCCGCTTCCACCCCAAATGGCACGGTCTCTCCTCCATGCAGAGCAAATGGCTTAAAATAGGATGGATCAGATCCCTGTGCTGCCTTCCCGGGGTGAACCCCGAGCAGGGGACCTCCTCTGAGCATCTTCAACGCGGCAGGACACGCTTTGGTTTCAGAAAATGGCTTGACATGAATTAGGGCGCCAGGTCACCCCCCGAGCGCTGTGCGGGGGCCGCCACACGTACCGGTGCCCAAGCGCTCGAGGGGACACTGTCTCAGCAACCGCATGATCAGGTCCTGGGCATCCGTGGGAAGAGCCTCGTCCCCTTCCGGCCACATAATTTCATCTGCAAGGAAAAAGGAGAAGGAGTTTGGTGTGGCTGGAAGAGTTTGGACACGACGGGGACTGTGATGATGCGAGGTCGCAGAAGTCACTTCTGGGCAAGAGGAAAGTCCCCCAGCAGCCGCAGCAGATGAAAGCATCCTCTCAAACTGGGAAATCAAAGCTTGAGGAGCTTCCTCACTGTTCAACCAAGTACGAAATGATGGAATGAAGCTCTCCACATGTTAAGGATGAGCCATGACTGTTGGGAAGAGCAAACCGAGGAGCAAAGTTGCCACTGACACTCACCGCTGATGACCTGCCCGAAGAGCTCCTCGGGGGTGTCTCCGAAGAAGGGGACGCAGCCCACCAGGAACTCGTAGAGGATGATGCCCATGGCCCACCAGTCGACAGGCTTCCCATAGCCCTGTATGAGGATGACTTCTGGGGCAATGTACTCTGGAGTGCCACACACCTGCGTGGGAAGCAGCGGCTGACACCTCTGCAACGACCTTTGTAACAAATCCCAAGGCTATCCCAGTCCCCGGTGATGGCAGGTCGGCCAAACGGAGCAGGACCTCGTACCTGCTTGTCCATGAACTCTCGAGTGTCCTTCTCCATATGCCCTTCGTAGAGGTTCGTGGTCATGTTCATCAAGCCGATCTTTGACAGACCGAAGTCTGTCAGCTTTATGTGGCCCATGGAGGTGATGAGCAAACTGCAAGAGAAGACAGATGCCCCATGATGATGCCGTTTGCTTCTGGGGAGACCTGGGCAGGACCAGCTGGACCCCAAGACCTCTGGTCCTTCTGCAACAGCAGTCTTTGGGCACCAGAACCTGTGACCTCATTCTGCCTTACCCTCTTGGCTTGGATCAGTCCCTCTCCCATCCCCACCCAAACCCAACCCCATCCTTGTTCAGACCTGACCCGCATCCTCACTTGTCGGGTTTGAGGTCCCGGTGGACAATGCCATAGTTGTGGAGATATTCCAGCGCGAGAACAGTCTCGGCAAAGTACATCTTCGCCATGTCGACAGGCAGCGGGCCCATGTTCTTCAGCAATGTGGCACAATCCCCCCCTGCAGGGACACGGGTCTTCCTGAGCATGGGGGGCAGGGGACAGGGCTGTGCTGCCTCTCCTGCCAAGCAGGCTCCCAGCCAGACCCTCCCATCCCTCCTTGGAGCAGCACTAATCCCTGGGCATGGGGCACAAACGCTCTCCTAGGTGAGCATGGCCACCGCCTTCATCAAGGTGAGACTCAGGACCACCAAAGCATCTCCTCATGCTTCCCTCCACTCCCTGGAGCAAAGCAGGGCAGGACATGTCCGAGTGGTGTCATCAGTGCTCAGAGATTGTCTATTGTCCCCTCCCTCCAGCCCCGAATCCCGTTCTCACCTTCCACGTACTCCATCACCATGCAGAGGTGTCGCTTCGTCTCGAAGGAGCAGAACATGCTGACCACGAAGGGGTTCTCTGCGAAGGTGAGGATGTCCCTCTCCACGAAGACCTGCTGGATCTGGTTCCTCAGGATGAGGTTCTGCTTGTTGATTTTCTTCAAGGCGAAGCGCTGCCGTGTCTCCCTGTGCCTCACCAGGTACACGGCCCTAGGAGGGAGCAATATTGCTGGACCTCAAAACATGTCCTCCGACCACCAAGACCGACCACACAGCACAGCAGGGCTTGGACAGGGAGGACTTTGGAGATGTTACAGATGGAGACAAACATTAGGAACTTCCCAACTCACCCGTAAGCCCCATTGCTGATCAGCTTGATGGTCTCAAAGTCCCCCTCGCAGGGCTTCCTCCGAGGAGCAGTGACCAAAGGCTGGCGCTGAAAAAGACATAGAAGGTTTTTAATGTTTCCTGGCATGCTGGTGCTCTGAGTGCAGGCAGGAATTCACCAAGCACCATCATGTGTCAGCACCATCATGTGTCACCTCCAACTGCTCCTCATTGCCAGAGGACATCCCTCCTTGAGCCCCCTCCAGCCACAAACCCCAAGCCAGAAGACCAGGATGCTCTGCAGATCAAGACCCACTCTGAGCTCTGTCCACTCAAGAAGCCAGTTGAGGGACTGTGAGATATTACACCTGAATACAGCAGTCACCCTTGGAGACAACCTGAATTAACATCTCCCAGATTAAGATAGCAGAGGAGCTGCTGCAAGGAGCTGTGGTGTGGGGTGAGGCAGGACGACGCTGGAGGCAGCACGTGGGACATGCAGGTATGACCACACTCACCTCACAAGTGTCATCATTCTCTGGTGTGATGGTGTTCCCGCTGTCAAAGTGATCCAGCTGGACCATTTCTGCAGAAGACAGAGATGGTTTTCACCTTCTTCATGCTCAACCCCCACCAAAATAACTCCCCACCAACCACTTTCCCTCCAAACTTGGAGATCCTGCGGGGATTTAGCCACACGCTTTGCTTGAGCTATTGTATGGAGAAATTCAGGTCGTGGCATTAAGCGGTTCAATACGAGGTTAAACATTTACATAATTCTTTTTTTTCCATAGTCATTCCCGTGTTCCTCAGGGATTATGGTTCCCCCCAAGGCCATGGCTTCCTATGGATTAAGCATTCTTGAGCTTAATCTGCTTTGCTGAACGTGTTGGGAGCAATAACGAGGGATGTGGGGCTGGCCAGGAGACTTGGACACTGTCCTGGTCCTGCTGTGACCCACTCCATGGCACCAGCTCAGCCCTGCTGGTCCCCCTGCCACCTCCCAGTGCTCGTTCACGCTTGCCAGTGGCCAAAGTGGGAGTCCACATCCTGCTGCAGACCTCGGGGCCACCAACCCAGGCAGTTCCCTACCCTCCAGCGGGTCCTTGACGAGCCCCAGTTGGCTGATGATGTATCGGGGAATATCGGTCTTTATTCCCTGGCCAACTTTGGCGTGTCCTTCTGCAGCTTCCAAGAGATGGTAAAACTCCTCCGGGTCAAACTCCTGGACAGGGAAAACCAAGAACAGTAGAGGAGCGAGACTTTGCAAAGCTCAACCTTTCCTTTAAGCCTTGCAGGTGACATCTGTAATTGAGGCCTGGCTCTGGATGCTTGCAGGAAAAAACTAAATGCTCTGCTCCTGTTTCTACCATCATTCCCAACATAAAGGGTTGATGGAAAAAAAATGAAGCCCCATGAGCTCCATCTTCCAGCTGCAGGAACGACGGCACAAAGGTGAGTGCTTTAGAAATTCAGCACAACAGCTAAAAAAAAACCCTGAAAATGGATGAGAAAGCTTGCCAAGAAGTTCACATCTCCCTACTCCGCTAGGAAAAACCAGCTTCTCCCCTCTGAGAAATGGCTTGGATGCTAGGAATGGTCTTAGCTCCTTGCTACAGCCTGGTCAGGATGGTGAGGAGCAGCAGTTCCCATGGTGGACTAGGCAAGGTGGTGAGAAGATGCCTTGTCTTTCATGGTCCATGCCCACCCAGAGAGGAGGCTTTGCCATGAAAGACAAGACACATCAGAAGCTGCCATGTCTTACCAGGCACTCCAGAAGGCGAGCAGGACGGGAGATGATGATCAGCAGCTTCCTCACCAGTTGGTCAATGAACTTCACCTCCTCGCTCTCCGAACGCTCCTGAGCCTGCCGGAGAGGAGACAGAAGCCAGGCATCTATCGGTGGCCTCAGAAGATGACATCGGGCAGGGAACTGCCCCGTACTCACATCTCTGAGCATCTTCTCAAGCTTTTCCTGCAGCTCCATGAAGTAGCGGGAGGTGATGAGAGCTCCCTGGGACTTCGCCAGACAGTCACGGGCCAACTCGATGATCTGGTGGTGGATGAAGCCCAGCACCCCGTCTGCCAGAGGCAGAGTACTGCTCGGAGAGAAGTTTGTGATGGTGTCCTGCAGACG